AGATAGATAGATAGATAGATAGATAGATAGATAGATAGATAGATAGATAGATAGATAGATAGATAGATAGATAGATAGATAGATAGATAGATAGATAGATAGATAGATAGATAGATAGATAGATAGATAGATAGATAGATAGATAGATAGATAGATAGATAGATAGATAGATAGATAGATAGATAGATAGATAGATAGATAGATAGATAGATAGATAGATAGATAGATAGATAAGATAGATAGATAGATAGATAGATAGATAGATAGATAGATAGATAGATAGATAGATAGATAGATAGATAGATAGATAGATAGATAGATAGATAGATAGATAGATAGATAGATAGATAGATAGATAGATAGATAGATAGATAGATAGATAGATAGATAGATAGATAGATAGATAGATAGATAGATAGATAGATAGATAGATAGATAGATAGATAGATAGATAGATAGATAGATAGATAGATAGATAGATAGATAGATAGATAGATAGATAGATAGATAGATAGATAGATAGATAGATAGATAGATAGATAGATAGATAGATAGATAGATAGATAGATAGAATAGATAGATAGATAGATAGATAGATAGATAGATAGATAGATAGATAGATAGATAGATAGATAGATAGATAGATAGATAGATAGATAGATAGATAGATAGATAGATAGATAGATAGATAGATAGATAGATAGATAGATAGATAGATAGATAGATAGATAGATAGATAGATAGATAGATAGATAGATAGATAGATAGACAGATAAAAGTTGTAAATAATCTACAAAAATTAAATTATATGTACCGCTTAATATTTGTTTATCGCTCATATTGTCCCAAACACCATCACAAATTTAAAATACCCACTTAATTCTCATACTAAGATACATATATGAAGATGGGCGTTAAATACGTAGCAGTCATTAATAATAATTTAAAATTTTAGAAATCTTTCTGAACAGACATTCTAAAAAATTATTAGTTGACTGTTGTTTTAGTTGAGAATCGGTGAATGACATTTGTTATCTGTGTAGTCATATTCTATTGAGAAGTTCTTTACAAGTACTTAAGGCGAAGATCTTCTAAGCTAAATTAATGGGTTTCTAATTTGTACTACAATACAATATAGTTAAATGACTAGACAAATAAGTTTAAATACAAAAAAAAAAAAAAACAATATAAAACAAAATCTCAGACAAAGAGAAAGTTGATGAACTACATTAAACTTTCTACCCATAAATTAATTAATTTCAGCAAATTCATATTATTCATTAGATTAACACATTTAAAAGTTTATTAAATTATTTAATGAATTAAAATTTGCTTCACCGCAAATAGAACTGGTATCTTAATTATACTCTAGACATTTGTGAAATGGTTTAATGGGTATTATGTGTTTATTGTAATGTTTGTAGCAATTGACAATAATTGGAGATCAATTGAATGATCGATCTACTAAAACTGTTATTTATTTGTTGAGATTTCATATTGTCTCAAAATTACTGTTCGTTCTCCGGGATTTTATTAAAATTTTCTTGTTATAATTTATAACCTATAAATACTTGCTTTTGATAGAGTGCATGTGAGAATCTTCATAGCCGAATTATTTTTATCCGCTTGTTTTTTTTTTTTTTTGTTATTAAAAAAAATATTAGTTGATCATTATAAGTTCATTTTGTTATTGTTTTTAATACTTACATTTTATTTTAAAACAAGTTTCAATGCCATTAACACAGAATAACAAATAAGAGACACAAAACAAAATACTAAAACCAAACAATAGATTTTTTGTATTTATTTTTTTTTTAATTTTGGGGGATTTTCCAGAAATCAAAAAGCAGTGAATCATTTTAAGTTACTTAAACGAATATGCGTGTTATTCGATTTAATAATAATAATAATTTAAAATTATTACGTTAAATATTAAATTATATACTTAGCTTAATTAACTTTTAGATCACATTTATTAAAATTACTATTAAGTTAATTCATTCCTAATGATCTGATTAGATCATTAAAATTTATTATTTACCAAGTAAGAGTGTTATATTCTATTTTATTAATGAAATTATTCAGAAGCATTTTAAAGTCACATTATCTACATCAATTAGCGCATGCGTAATTTGAAAACGTTATTGACAATTAATTATGAAGATACTGTAATAAATTAAACCTGAAATATTGTGGGTTTTTTCTGATTTTGTTTTGTTAATGTTTTTACTGAAATGTTGGTTTTTAAAATGATAAGAATATCCTAAGTAGAATTTTGAATACCCTATGGTATAATTTTAACATATTATAAAAGAAATCCATCATGTCCATTTGTTTTAGATGGTTTGGAATTATTTAAGATTCTACAAATTAAGCTTGAACGTAGATCTGTGCTGTTGCGGACAGTGCTCTAGCGAGGATTAATGTATCGCGAGTTGATACACTAAGAGTTTTCTATTTGACTGTTAAATACCCACTTTCAAAACAATGTATCGATATTAGTTGATCATAAGTTTGACTTTCATAAGGACTTTTATTAGCACTTGCCTCAATTATGGACCAAACTTATACGTATTTTCAAAAGAAAGACTGTCAAAACTTATTTTTGGATAAACATCAACTTTTATCAGTATTGTTTAAATCTTTTGTTCTGCAACTGATTTTGTAAGTTTTTTGGGTCTATGAGATAAAATTGTATTAACAGTTAATAAGTTAGTTAGTTAGTTAGTTATTTAGTTAGTTAGTTAGTTAGTTAGTTAGTTAGTTAGTTAGTTAGTTAGTTAGTTAGTTAGTTAGTTAGTTAGTTAGTTAGTTAGTTAGTTAGTTAGTTAGTTAGTTAGTTAGTTAGTTAGTTAGTTAGTTAGTTAGTTAGTTAGTTAGTTAGTTAGTAGTTAGTTAGTTAGTTAGTTAGTTAGTTAGTTAGTTAGTTAGTTAGTTAGTTAGTTAGTTAGTTAGTTAGTTAGTTAGTTAGTTAGTTAGTTAGTTAGTTAGTTAGTTAGTTAGTTAGTTAGTTAGTTAGTTAGTTAGTTAGTTAGTAGTTAGTTAGTTAGTTAGTTAGTTAGTTAGTAGTTAGTTAGTTAGTTAGTTAGTTAGTTAGTTAGTTAGTAGTTAGTTAGTTAGTTAGTTAGTAGTTAGTTAGTTAGTTAGTTAGTTAGTTAGTTAGTTAGTTAGTTAGTTAGTTAGTTAGTTAGTTAGTAGTTAGTTAGTTAGTTAGTTAGTTAGTTAGTTAGTTAGTTAGTTAGTTAGTTAGTTAGTTAGTTAGTTAGTTAGTTAGTTAGTTAGTTAGTTAGTAGTTAGTTAGTTAGTTAGTTAGTTAGTTAGTTAGTTAGTTAGTTAGTTAGTTAGTTAGTAGTTAGTTAGTTAGTTAGTTAGTTAGTTAGTTAGTTAGTTAGTTAGTTAGTTAGTTAGTTAGTTAGTTAGTTAGTTAGTTAGTTAGTAGTTAGTTAGTTAGTTAGTTAGTTAGTAGTTAGTTAGTTAGTTAGTTAGTTAGTTAGTTAGTTAGTTAGTTAGTTAGTTAGTTAGTAGTTAGTTAGTTAGTTAGTTAGTTAGTTAGTTAGTAGTTAGTTAGTTAGTTAGTTAGTTAGTAGTTAGTTAGTTAGTTAGTTAGTTAGTTAGTAGTTAGTTAGTTAGTTAGTTAGTTAGTTAGTTAGTAGTTAGTTAGTTAGTTAGTTAGTTAGTTAGTTAGTTAGTTAGTTAGTTAGTTAGTTAGTTAGTTAGTTAGTTAGTTAGTTAGTTAGTTAGTTAGTTAGTTAGTTAGTTAGTTTAGTTAGTTAGTTAGTTAGTTAGTTAGTTAGTTAGTTAGTAGTTAGTTAGTTAGTTAGTTAGTAGTTAGTTAGTTAGGTAGTTAGTTAGTTAGTTAGTTAGTTAGTTAGTTAGTTAGTTAGTTAGTTAGTAGTTAGTTAGTTAGTTAGTTAGTTAGTTAGTTAGTTAGTTAGTAGTTAGTAGTTAGTTAGTTAGTAGTTAGTTAGTTAGTTAGTTAGTTAGTTAGTTAGTTAGTAGTTGTTAGTTAGTTAGTTAGTTAGTTAGTTAGTTAGTTAGTTAGTTAGTTAGTTAGTTAGTTAGTTAGTTAGTTAGTAGTTAGTTAGTTAGTAGTTAGTTAGTTAGTTAGTTAGTTAGTTAGTTAGTTAGTTAGTTAGTTAGTTAGTTAGTTAGTTAGTTAGTTAGTTAGTTAGTTAGTTAGTTAGTTAGTTAGTTAGTTAGTTAGTTAGTAGTTAGTTAGTAGGAGCAATTATGTGCCGAGCCTCTTGACTTTTTACAAGGAGATTTCTGTTTTTTCTTATCTATGCCGCATTCGTTACTTACTATGTCATTCTAGGAAGACCTCTCTTTGCTTAGTATCTTGATTTTAACAGACAGAGGTCTTAGACCGGAATGAAATCAATATCATACGTATATTCCTAATTAGCAAGGCAGCCACTGCTATTTAGTATTACCAATTTTATACGAACTCTGAAATTGATGCGTTTTACTTACGGATTGACAAAATCAATTTTTTATTCTAAATGGGCCTAAATGTATTATGTTTCTAAAATCTAAATAACATTTAAAACGAATATGTCTACTTCTTTCCGTTTATGATAAGTATGTTTTTGTTTTTTTAATATCTCTAATCTAAACGGCTAATTCATTTCTTCACACTTTTTTTAACACTCTCTAACAGTCAGACTGGATGGACCACTTTTGAACTACCTAAAACGAAATTATAACACACACAGAATCTCTGTAAAACATGTATTAAAACAAAACAAAAATGGAAATTATATCTACATTAAGACGAAATAAAACAAGATATTACTAAAGCACCTGCTTATCTGTGAATTGTATTTCAAAATTGATATTGATGTATTTTGTAGATACTTAGTTAATACAAGATGTTTTTTTGGTTTTTATCTACGATTATAGATGGGGATTTTTTATTGTATCGATTATTGATTAGAGTATTTATTGTATTAAATTTTTGGCTAAATGCCAAACCATTTCTTTACCTATAAAATATTGTCAATTTCTTAAGAAATTCACAGAGTTTGTTTACATTTCAAAACAAAAAGATCGTTCAAATAGTGCAGAGCTTTAACTACTTACTTAGTAAAGAAATTAAGCAAATTATCCATAAATAAATCTATATTCATTTATTCGTACAAAATGAAATTGTTTATAACTATTATGGGACTTTGCCTGTTGGCCATTTGCTCCAGCTTGCCAATTGAACACGAACAAAAGAACACTTTGGAGTCAGTGTCTTATGTAGCTGATCAAGGCGATGCGAATGCTGATCATGTACGCTTAGCTCGTGGTTACGGTGGTTATGGAGGTTATGGCGGTTATGGCGGTTATGGCGGCTATGGCGGTTATGGTGGTTATGGTGGTTATGGCGGTTATGGTGGTTATCCTGGTTATGGTGGCTACGGTGGCTATCCAATTGGTGGAGGCTTTGGAGGTGGCATCAGTGGTGCTAGTGCTTCTGCATCGGCATCATCTGTCGGTAGTGGCTTCGGTTTTGGTAGATAGAATCATCATAAGAGCGGCTTTAGTTAATGTTTAATTGTATTTAGTATAATTATTAATTTTAAAACCAAATTAAATAAATTATTTTTTTATTTATGTATATGAAAACAATTGTTGATTTTTATCACTGAAATAAAAAACTTATTCTAAACTTATTTAATAACCACAGTTTTGGGACAACTGAAACTTATATACCTTCTTTTGCTGAGAATTTTTTGTACAGTAAATTTTTTACCAAAAAATAGGTATTTCCAATATGAAGACAATCTTATTTCTTGCGGTTATATCTAAGCTGTATATATTATACAGATTCCCAATATTCTAGAACAGTTTAGTTTTGTATCACAAAAATTTTAAACAGCATGGGAAATTTGATTTGAACAGTTGTACTGATAACTCTTTGCCTTCTATCAAAGAAAGTGCTCCAGAGTGATACCCATATAGTGCAATGCATACCTCTGTGAGAGTAATCGGTTAAGGCTTTCTTACAATCCCATACGGTCTTAGATTTAGCCTTATCATCTGTTATATCGCCATTTGCCTACTAGCTCTCGGTAAATATATTAACCCTTGTTTGCGCCATAGTTATTTTAATCAAATATACGTATCCTGTTAATGCTCGGACGTCTGCCTGGAAGCTAGTGTAGTAATTAGGGAAACAGTGGTATATTTCTGCTTCTTGGTCTTTAAAATGGAACCACGTATGGCTAGCAATTCTTGACATTCTATCTGGGATCAGTATTTTATTGTTCCCGACATATTCTGTAAATAGCCTATAACTGCCTTTGGTTAGTTCGCCTAAAGTTATAAGCTGTATGGCTGTAAGTTCCGCCTCTTATCTTATATATATTTCAATAGGTGGAATATCTACTTTTCCAGAACCTTTATTGACGTAGTGCTCATGACACCACTTATACCAAAGTAGCATGTACGCTGAACTCTCTGTAGTAGTTAGATATTACACTTTTTGTCCAAAGAAGTCCACCAGATTATTAAAGCATAAGTAAAAATTGGTCTAATTACACTTCTATAAAGCCATTGTGTCATAGTTAGACTAAAGCCCCATTTCATGCTTATCTATAAGCCCAACACCGATGTGTCTTTTTGATCTTATCCTTTATGTAGTTAATTTTTGTTCTTCTCTGGATAGGGTCCTTAGGAGGTGGTTACTCAGAGATATATAAATACTTTGTCCCTAACTTCATAAAGCTTTATTGAACTTATCTACATATATAAGTTACTCAATAGAGGATATGATCAATAAGGCACATCGGTGCTGGGCGATATGTAGGGGAACTATAGGCATGAAATGGAGTCCTACTATGACAAATTGGCTTTATAAAAGTGTAATTACACCAATTCTAGCTTATGCTTCAATAATCTGGAGGACTGCTTTGGACAAAAAGTGTAATATCAAACTACTACAGGGAGTTAAACGTACATGCTGCTTCGATATAAGTGGTGCCATGTGTACTACTTCAACTAGTCTGGAAACGTTGCTAGATATTCCACCCATTGAAACATATTTAAGATACTTTAGATGAACTGGCCAAAAGCGGTTATAGGACACGTCATCAATATATAAAAGCCACATTGGAAGGTTATAAACAATCGTCGAACGTGCCTGATCGCTAGTTCAACAGACACAGAATATGTCGGAAACTTTGAAACGTTGATCACAGATAGAATGTGTTGGTCAAGCGGAAAACTAGAGCAAATACCAGTAGGAATCCGTTGTTACACGGATGACACTAAATTGGGGCATAAAGTGGGAATAAGGTTCTATATTGAAGATCCAGAAACAGAAATATACCACCGTTTACCTAATCATAACACAAGCTTCCAGGCAGAAGTCCGAGCAATAATGGAATGTGTAAATTGGATTAGAATAAATATGGCGCCTACAGCTCTATATATATTTACCGACAGCCAGAAGGCAATTGGGGCGATATCAGGTGATAGAATTAAATCTAAGACCGTATTGGATTGTAAGATAGCTTTAACTTTATACTCTCCCAGAAGTAAGGTTTACATCATATGTGTAGCAGGCCTCTTGGAATATTGAAACCACAAAGATGCTATGGGGTGACTCTGATGAGAACAAGATGAGAAATCCCCTCAAAATGAACAAGTCTTAAGTTAGTATGATGGTACGTATTCTGAGTGGAAACACAGGATTACGAGCACATCTATACAAAATTGGCCGTGCGGATTCAGACGAATGTAGAGCATGTGGAGATACCAGCGAAACTCTGGAGCACTTACTTTGCCACTGTCAGGCATTCGTCGAAGTTAGATCCTAGTATCTTGGAAGTGATGTTATTCCAGAAATAGCATTCTTGACTAACACTGATTGGAAAATTCTTAAGAATTAAGTCCAGGATATTGAGTTTCTGAACATTGAAGAATAAGTGAACAATTTTTTATGAAAAGGAGCGCACAACAGGCCCAATAGTGGCCTAGGTGTATTTCATCGGATTTGATGTCCTATACATCCTCCTTTCAACCAAACCTAACATAACCTACTCCAAATATTGGTACTTACGTCTAAGTCAATATCTGGTGAGCTAGATCCAAAAAAATGTAAACACAGTATTGCTAGAATATTATCAGGTTTATAATGCAAAAATGTAAAAAATTAATTTTAATAAAATTAAAAAAAAAAAATAAATTACAAAATATTATTTTAGTTGGGAAATTCATTTTGTATAGTGTTGTTTCTGACATTCAAAAATTATAGAAAGATCCCGTTGAAATTTTTGTAACCTGATTTCGATCGTAACATTTTTTCAAAGTTCAATGCAATTTAAGACAAAACTTGAATTAAATTTGTATTTGGAGGAATATTATTGACGATAAATATTTAAAATATGCAGGTAATACTAGTATTTAATATAATATATTAACTTGATCTCCTTTTAAAATAATTATAACAAAAATTCTGATGTTGTTGTAGAAATCATTTAAAAAAATTTAAAATTTGCATGTATAATTTTGAATTTTTTTTCTTATAGTATACTAAATTTTAGAATATAACAGACCTATAAAAAATCGTTATTTGTCCAAGAAATTAACAGAACTTTACAAGTGTCCAAAACCAAACGATCGTTTGCTTAAATAAACAAAAATTTTTTAAATCTATACATAATGAAATTAATTTTAACATTTGTGGTCCTTTGCTTTTTGGCCATTTGCTCCTGTTGGCCAGTTGATAGTGGATATAGAAATACTCTGGAAGCTATTGATGGTGCCATTCGTGGTGATACAGACAATGTCGAACATTTGCGTTTAGTCCGCCAGTTTTATGGTGGTTATGGCTTCCCAGGTTATGGAGGTTATGGTGGTTATGGTTTCCCATATGGTGGTGGTGGCGGTGGATTTAGTAATTCTCAAGCCTCTGCATCTGCTTCATCCACAGGTGGCGGCTTTGGTTATTTCGGCTGATAATTCGCTCGAACAAATAAGTTATATGTACTGATATAAATTAATGTAATAAGTTAAGAAATAAATATTTAATAGAAATGAAATTGGTATTTGTATGTTTAACGGAATAGCAGGGAAAAAGGTAAGAGCTTAGGTTTATTAAATTGCTAAGCAGTTCGAAAAAGAGTTAATGCACATGTACAAGGCAATCATTGTCAGTAATATCTAACCATCTGGTTGATCCAAATGTGTATAAATAGGGTTATTCGTTACCAACGTACTCTTCTTAGCAGGAAGTGGAGACAGGTACCAAAATCACCTTTGTTACACATTTTTACCCCATAAAGGTACGAATTTCAAAAAAGTAACAGAGACCCATCTGCTCATTTTAAGAGTAGATACAGGTGCATTTAAAATTTTTCTTGTATCACTAATATTGTGCAACATAATTAAGAAAACCTGTTTTACCCGTTTTTCCCCTTTTTACCCGTAAATGTACAAATTTCCAAAAATCCCTCCATAGTGGATATACTACATAACCAAAAGCACATCTACTGTCAAAATTTCATGATTCTAGGTTCAGCCGTTTGGGCTGTGCGATGATGAATCAGTCAGTCAGTAAAGCTATATACATTTATAGATAAAATTATGGACATGAAGTCAAATTTTGAAGGGGCTTTGTGTAGGGGCTATGGTGAAATGAGACCCTATAATTATAAAATTCATGAGGGTCATCAGAGCTAGTATAGAACTTGGTTTTGCAGCTTTTTGTCGAGATACGATTATATTAAACATAATTATGAACTTGAAAGCCCTATTCGTCGGGTTCAGTTTTATGGGGCTAGGTGAAATCATTGAACGATGTTAACCATTTTTAATAGGCTTCGTCTCCGGTACCATAGAAGATCATGTGCCAAATTTCATTGAAAAATTGCAACCTGTAGTTTGATTCGGGGGTTCGGTTGTATGTGGGCTAGGTAACCGATGTTAACCATTTTCAATAGGCTTTGTAGAAGATCATGTACCATAGAAGATCATGTGCCAAATTTCATTCAATTATCTTCAAAATTGCGACCTATAGTTTGATTACAAGGTTTACAAGCCCTATTCAGGAGTTCAGTTTTATAGGGGCTAGGTGAAATAATGGACCGATCTTAACCATTTTCAACAGCCAAATTTCATTGAATTATCTGGACGGACGGACATAGATAAATCGACTCAGAAATGATTTTAAACCGATTGGTATACTTTAAGGTAGGTATAGGACCAATATTTTTGTGCGTTACAAACATCAGTGAGAGGGTATACCCCACTAAAGTGGTGTTGAAAAACGAAAAAGTACCAGAAAGTCCCCTTCTATAGATTTTGTTCAAACAGTCATAGAACAAAAACTTAAAAGTACCAAAAAGTCCCCTTTTACATGTTATCACTTACGCCGGGCTCTACATGCTTAATTGAATGTTTCTAGCTTCAATATTACAGAAAATTCAAAAAGTACCTTTTGAAGAACGAAAAAGTGTCCAAAAGTTCCTTTTTTCCTAGTTCTCAATTAATTAAGGCTCAAAATGCTTAATTTCATATTTTTACGTTCGATATTATTGAAAATTCAAAAGGTACCTTATGTATAACGAAAAAGTAGCAAAAAATCCATTTTATGTGTTCTCACTTACGTTCAGTATTATAGAAAATTCAAAAAGTACCTTTTAAAGTACGATAAAAGTTCCTTTTATAGGTTCTCATCTAATCCGGTCCCTACATGCAAAATTTCATATTTCTAGGTTCAGTATTATAAAAATTTCAAAAAGTACCTTTTGCAGTACGAAAATGTACCAAAAAAATCACTTTTTATAGGTTCTCACCTAATGCGGGCTCTAAATACTTAATTTAATGTTTCTAGGTTCAATATTATGGAAAATTCAAAAAGTACCTTTTTTAGAACGAAAAAGTACCAAAAAGTCTCCTTTTATAGGTTCGTACCTAATCCGGATCCTACATCCTAAATTTCATGTTTCTAGGTTCAATATTATAGAAAATTCAAAAAGTACCTTTTTAAAAACCAAAAATTACCAAAAAGTCCTTTTTTATAGGTTCTCACATAATCCGGACTCTAAATATTAATTTCACGTTTCTAGGTTGAATATTATAGAAATTTCAAAAAGTACCTTTTGTAGAACGAAAAAGTACCAAAAAGTACCCTTTTATAGGGTCTACACACTGCTTCATTGTACCCTATACAACTTTAGTGGGGAGAGTATATTGGGTCTGTGCTGATGTCTGTAACGCACAATAATATTGGTCCTATATCTACCTTAAAGTATACCTACCAAAAATTTTCATTACCTAGTAATCTAGAAAGTAATATTGGAATCTCGTGGAAACTAATTACTTTTGGGGTGAATAACTAATTATTTTTGTTCGACGAGGTTCAAATAATATGTACCTACCTTAAACAAATTAATAAATGGTTACTAATTTGATTACAAAAACTTTGCGAAATAACGAGTTACAACTAAGCCTACAAATATGTTATGTGATAGCTAGTTATTTTGGGCCGACTTTGTATGTAGAAAACAAAAAATAAAAAAAATTCCAGGCATTCAGTTGTTTTCTATGTTCCTCACTCCAGCCGCTTACTCGATGCTCCATTAACATGTTGCTTTTTGTAATTTTGAGAACGGCATTTTACAAAAAAATATAAATGAATGTCATTTTGAAAAAAAATAAGCAGTATCCAGCAGGGCTCGAACCACGAACCCCCTGTTTGTTAAATAAACGACCTAGACAATTGAGCCATAACAAATCCAAATTGTTTTGTTCTTTACCAGTAATAACCTATTCAGCTAAATGAAATAATGTGGATGATAATGAACACTCATTACCAAGTAATGTATGAAATAACTACTGGCTATTACCAAAAATTTCAGATTTTTTGCTGGGTATCGGCTTAGAATAATTTTCTGAGTCGATTTAGCTATGTCTGTCCGTCTGTCTGTCTGTCTGTCCATGTAAACCTTGTAATCAAACTACACGTTGCAATTTTGAAGATAATGCAATGAAATTTGGCACACGATCTTCTATGATATCGGAGACGAAGCCTGTTATCAATGGTTTACATCGGTCCATTATTTCACCTAGCCCCCATACAACTGAACCCCCAAATAGGGCTTGTAAACCTTGTAATCAAACTGGTCGCAATTTTATAGATAATTCAATGAAATTTGGCACATGATCTTCTATGGTACCGTAGACGAAGCCTATTGAAAATGGATAACATAGGTCCAGAGAATTGTTGAAGATTTGGATCCCGAAGATATCGGGATCTTCGTTTGAATATAACTGTGCGGCTATATTTTTCGGACTTGTGGATATGACTAATTTGTTGTTATGCCCTTTGAATTTTATTTCAATAAAGTCGGTGCTTTTGACACTAGGGTTCTTAAAATTTTCAACAACATGTATTTTGATGCAGTTGACTATTTTTAATCAAAAAGTCGATTTTAAATTTTTTTGGTTGTTACGTCTTTTTGCATTTCAGGTGACGATATTTAAATGTTTTTTTCTCGACTCGAAATTTAAAGAACACAGACACTGGACATATATATATATATAATTATACGCTTCACCTTAGTGAAAACGGTATATATAAGTTTGTCATTCTATTTGTGATTTCTATAATATAATTTTCTAGTCCTATAATGTACTATATATGTATGTATGTACAATATTTCGAGTACTTATAGATAGCGGAGTATTACTGGTTAGCATTTATTACTTTACGAAAGACTTCTAAGTGCAATACGGATTTATGTACCTGGAATTTACTTAAGAATTCTTTTGAATAACTTTGTATTAAAATTGAAAAAGGTGATATTTAATAAAAGAATTATATAGTATGTGTGAACATCTTAAATTCCGCGAAAAATTACTGAACACTAGTGCAGTTGTCGATTATTAGTTGCGCTTGTACATCAAATCAATAACCGTGATTGGTCTGTGATTATAGTCAATTTGTTAATAGCATAACACACTCCCTATTCATAAAACATGTAGAACCGCTTTTTTCATTCGAAATTTTTAGAAAACATTAATAATAATTATCAATTTATTTTAAAAAGAAACTCGCAAAAACTTAATAAAGTTCATGTACCTTGTTCCTTAGGAGCGCGTGTTGAGCGATTCACCAGTATTAAAATAATTATTATTTTATTTGATTAATTTTTTTCATTACACAGTACAATTACGATTTTAAATTTCAGGATGTATAAAACATGGCTATTTTTCAAATGCATCCATAGAATTAAATTAACTTTCAGATTAAAGACATCACTTCAATAAGAAATATTTGCTTATAAATAAGTAAGAACAAAAATCCTTATATTCATTATGAAATTATTGGCCGCAGTTTTAGTTATGTGTTCATTGGCGGTTGCCCTTAGCTGGCCTTTGGAAAATAACAATTTAGATTTGCTATTAGCAATTGATGAAGCAGCTCAGGGAGTTGACAGCAATGATCACATTCGTCTAGCCCGTCATCGCCATGGTGGTAGAGGTTATGGAGGCGGAGGCTATGGTGGTGGAGGCTATGGTGGTGGAGGCTATGGTGGTGGTGGATATCCTGGCGGCGGCTATGGTGGTGGCGGTGGTGGATATCCCGGCGGCGGCTATGGTGGTGGTGGTGGCGGATATCCTGGTGGAGGTTATGGTGGTGCTACTAGTAGTGCTTCAGCAAGTGCTAGTGCTTCAGCAACAGGCTATAGTGGAGGATATGGCAGATAAGAATTTACAATAATTTTAAATAAAAGTTATTTAATATTCTTAATATTGTTTTTGTTTAATTTGTTAGATACTAGCATACCCTGGGTGCTTCGATACCCTAACTTAAATTAAATACATACAAAATTTTGTTTACTTTTATAGAAAATTAAAATTGATCAAACTTTTTTTTAATGTTTCAGTTTTATACGTTCAATATCATGTGATTAAATTCGCATTCAGTAAGAAGCTTGTATTTTTAGTTTTATTCATTTAGCTTCTACATTATAGAAAATTTCGAAAGTACTATTTAAAAAAATTACTATAAAATACCTCTAATAGATTATCATTTAATCAAAAATTTTATGTTTCTGTTTTCAATATTATATACAATTCAAAAAATATAATTTGATGAATGAAAAAGTGCCAAAAGTCCCTTTCATTCACTAAAGTCCATACATTTTAAATTTTATTTTCAATATCTATGTTCAATATCGTAAAAATATCAAAAAGTACCATCGGATAAACGAAAAAGTACAAAAATCTCTCTCAATAAATTCTCATTTAATAAGGACCTTGTGTTCCGGTTAACCATTATAAAGAATCTAAAAGGTACCATTTTAAGAATAGAAAAATACCAAATAGTTCCCACTTACAGAATATTATTCAGTCAAGACCATGTATGTTACAATTTATAAGATAAAAAGTACTAAAAAGTTGTCTCTTAAAGAATCTTATTCAATGAGGACCGTGTATGTTTAATAATCAAGTGTTTTGAATTCATATTAAAGAACATACAAAGAGTATCATTTGAAGAAAGAAAAAGTACCAAAAGTGGAATAAATTTTACCCAAGTGAAAAGTACTAATAAAAAGAGTACAATTTTTCCCCTTTTCGCTTAGAAATATATTTTTCGAGAATTAAGTTTACAGAATGTTCCGTATTTAAATCTATATATCTCACTCAAACAATTCAAATCTGCATTCATTTGTTTCAGAAAAATAGTGCTTTCAAAAAGTACCAAACAATTTACTCGAATTTGGTCCTATATAGGCCTTAGTACTCAAATTCCAAAAGAATATATACCAATAGCTTATTTTGTGTGAGTAAGTAAACTACTTTTTCAAATCTTATAAAAATTGGCTCAATGAGTTTGAATAAAATTACATTTCCCGTTTATCCCCTTTTTAGTAATTACAGAGTTAGTCCGTATTTTAATAGGAATAATTCAATAAACCAAAAAAGTTTTCTTAATGTGCTAAAAAAAAGTACCATTACACCCAAAAAGGGCGGAATTTTAAAAAAGTACTAAACAGGTGTCTAATAATTTTGAGAGATGTATCCATAATATTTATAAAAATTTTATTATGTTAATTAGTTCAAAAGATATGTATAAAGGGCCAAAAAGGTACCAAAATCGCCTTTATTACAAATTGTTACCCCTTAAAAGTACGAATTTCAAAAAAGTACCAGACACCCATCTACTCATATTAAGAGTAGATACAGGTGCATTTAAAATTTTTCTTGTATTACTAATATTGTGTAAGATAATTAAGAAGTTTTACCCGTTTTTTCCCCTTTTTACCCGTAAATGTACCAAAAACACATCTACTGTCAAAATTTCATGATTCTAGGTTCAGCCGTTTGGGCTGTGCGATGATGAAATAATCAGTCGCTACTATTTTATATATATAGATTATTAAAGTTGATAATTCATAGAATACCGGGGCAAACTAAATTTTGTGGAATTTTAGAACAAGAGATCCAAATTTTAATAAAAAGAGCTTAATAGCACAAACTCAGAACGTCATAGGGGCATAATCTGGCGGAAATATGATATGATGGTTTATAATTTCTACAAATATGGTTTTCAGACCCTTTAAAGTTTATATATTCTGAATCCTTATAGATAAAGAAGTCAATTTGGTGATGTCCGTCTGTCTGTCTATATGTTTGTTAAAATAAATTTTCTGAAGACCCCAGATATGAATGGAATCCAAGTCGTTTATAATTCTAACAGATTATATTTAATTCAACAAAATCGGTCAAATCGGTTGATTTAAGTGGTCGTACCCACTGTTTCAATATTCCAATTGGCCTCATGGTATTCTCTAGTCTTTGTTTTAATTCAGCCCCGGTGCGTTGAACAGATTTGCATTTATCACGTTAACCTTCTCCAGCACCTATCTGTTTATTTACATTTACACTTTCTCAATTATAGCTCTCTCATACAGTTCAATACGATCTCAGATGTAATATTATCGGCTGATATCACCTTAATTCTGGATGTTGGCATCATATTTAATCCAATTTTTGTTAAACATTCTTAATAGTAGGACATCATCTACCTTGAAGCTAGTGCTGTGGTTAGGAAGTTAGTTCCAAGTTTCCAAGTTCCAAGTTTTCTAAGTAGATCCCCATACTATCATCCTATCTGGTACCAGAAGACATTGTTCCCGGCAATTCATGTGCTGTACATATTGATCCAACGGTCAATTCGGTTAACAAAAAGAGCGGCTCGTATCGCATTGTCTAATATCCTACATGCGTTTCTATTGGTAGAATGTTCAGCAATATTTCTAAAGTTTTGGTCGACGTAGTGGTAATGACACTACTTGCTCCCAAACAATTCTGTTATGTTGCAATTTTAATAGAAAGTAATCAGTTTATAGGCGCATAAGTTAGAATTGGTCAATTATGCATTTATGTAGTAAGACTACATATTAATTTCCGATCAAGAATTATTCATAGTTTTTTAACACTGTTGGTCACTGATATCGTTCTGTCCAAGAACCGGGGCTAAGTATGGGCAGAAAATTAATTAATTAAATTCTAAGTCCATATAGCCTTGTCCGCCCCTCTGTATGTTGAAAGCACGATAGAGTCCGATCAAATATTATCAAATAATATTCTCTATCGATGCAGTTTGTTTGGTACTGAAAACGAGCTATATCGGTACATGTTTTGATTTAATGTTTTATATGAACCTAAATCTCCTTACCAAATTTTATGAGGATTGGTCCATTATCGACCGTACATCCCATATAAGGTCCCCCTCAGAAAATTACTATAACGCTCATAACATGCTTGAAAATGATAGCTAAAACAAGTTTTAGGGGAACTAAAATCTCTCTGCCATAATTTATATAGATCGGCCCATAAGGTTCCCCTCAGAATATTACTTTAATGCTGATAACTTGCTTCATAAACAAGTTTTAGAGGAACTTAAATCTCTCTACCAAATTTTATGATGATCGGTCCATAATTGACCCTAGCCCCTATACAAGGTCCCCTTTTGAAAATGACTATGTCGCTTACAACTTTCTTCAAAATAATAGCAATGCAATGAAATTCGGCATAAACAAGTTTTAGCTGAACAAAAACCTCTCTGCGAAATTTTATGTAGATCGGTTCATAATTGATCCTACCCCTATTAATGGTCCTTTTCATAGAATGATTAGTTCTATGGGATCTAAAATCTTACTGTCAAATGTTATGAGCATTGGGCCATATTGGATCAAATCCTTCGTATAATGCTTAGAAAGCATTGATATTCGACATAACAAGTTTTATTGAAACAAATATCTTATTAGGATCGGTCAAAAATTTACCATAAGTAAATATATACCTGTTTCTAATATTTATGTCATAAATCTAGCCAATTGTTATTTCTTCCCTTAGGGAGAACCTGATTTCATTGCAGTAGAATATTGTAAAATCAATTCAAATATATTTGCTGATTATCATTATCTGGTAACTCTAATGGTTTCGAGCAATTAATTATAAATATATTTTATATTTTGTAATAAGATTGTTTTTTTTTAAACATAATTTAATTAAAATTTAATCTTACAAACTCGTAAACAATTTAAAAACCTGCTACAATGTTCAAATAAACAAAATTAATCATTTAGGTATTAACAGTTTGAGTTCAAAAGTTCTTACGAAAAAATATCAAGATTTTCGATGTTTATATTATAGATACAAGATTTAATAAGAAAAATATAAAATTAAAAAAATCTATAAAATATTGTTAAGTCATTTCTACTAAAGTATGATTCAGTGGTTTTTTTCGCATAAAGAATTCTAATTTATAGAAATAAATTATTTTTCAGACAATTAAACTTTATAGCGGGATGACAATAATAATTGACCAAATCATCAAATTTTGTTTTGTGTTCTTATTAAATCTTAAAAAATATAGTCTTCCTATTGTCATTATTAATTGTTTGTGTATTTCATTATTATTTTCGGAAAATTTATATGTTTATCTATATGTTCTACTGTATTATAAATTTATAAAGAATAAGTTTATTTGTTTGTGTTTTTTGTTGTTGTCTAAACTTAGACAAGAACTACTTTAAACATGTTAGAATATTTGAATACCTAATTAAGTTTGTTTTAGATGAAATTTGCGGTCACTATGCGTAAAATCCCCATATGAAGATTTTTTGCTCATTATATTATTTTAGTTGCTTAAAAATAAACAAACATATAAAAAAATAATAATAAAATAAAAACGTAATAAACTAAACAATAAACAAATAGACGAATACTTATACATACACGTATTACATACAATTAAACTGCCATAATGAAATGAGGGAGTTGTTGTTATTGATGCTTTTAACTTGTCAAACAAAATCATAAAAAGCCTACGAATATATAGTGGTAAAGACGACTTGTTAATCCCCTTTGCTTATATACCCTTCCAAAAAAATATAGGGGTTATAATGTGTTTGTCTTTCCGTTTGTAATACATCAAAATATTGGTAGTAGATTCTGGGTACTTGGAGATCGGTCCCCCTTAAAGCCATTAACTATATAGTAATAGGATGGAATTAAGAGAAAATTCAACAAAAACTACTTTTTGTAAAAGTATAATTGACTCAAGTCAAATCATCAAGAAAATCATATCGGTATAATTGCTTTCTGCGCAAGAAGATACCGGTGACAGACAAAGATAAATACCAGAAATTAAAATGGAGACACCATATAGAGGATAGGATCAACAAGGCACATCGGTGCTGGGCGATATATAGGAGAACTATAGGCATGAAATGGGATCTGAGTCCTACTATGACAAATTGGCTCTATAAAAGTTTAATTAGACCAATAATCTACAAGGAGTTCAGCGTACATGCTGCTTGAGTATAAGTAATGTCACCCATTGAAACATATTTAAAATATGAGACGGCGCTTACAGCCGAACGGCTGTTTCCTTTAGGCGAACTGGCCAAAAGCAGTTATAACTTTAAAATACTGATCCCAGATAAAATGTCTTGGTCAAGCGGAACATTAGAGCAAATACCAGTAAGAATCCGTTGCTACATGGATGGCTCTGAAATAGGGCGCAAAGTTGGTCTGGAGTCCTATATTGGAGACCCAGAAATAGATGATAGAATTAAATCTAAGAACGTATTGGATTGTAAGAAAGCTTTAAATGAATATTCTCCCAGAGGTAAGGTTTACATCATATGGATACCAGGCCGCTCGAGAGTAGTCGGGAACGAACGGGCGAATGTAATAACTTTAAAGGGAAGGGAGCTCGAGGTAGTTAACCTGACAAACGCAAAACCATTCGAAGCAACAAAAACTGCATTAAAAATATGGATGAGAGAATCCCATAAGGCCTCTTGGAATAATGAAACGGTGGGTAGAACCATAAAGATCCTATGGGGTGACCCTAATGAGAGCAAGACAAGAAATCTCCTCAAAATGAGCAAGCCCGAGGTTAGTATGATGGTACATATTCTGAGTGGACACACAGGATTACGAGCACATCTATACAAAATTGGACGTGCGAATTCAGACGAATGTAAAGCATGTGGAGAGGACAGTAAAACTCTGGGGTACTATCTTTCCCTCTGACAGGCAATCGTCGAAGTTAGATAAAAGCACCTTGGAAGTGATATTATTCCGGAAATCCTGACTAACACTGATTGGAAAATTCTTAGGAATTACGTCCAGGAAACTGAGTTTCTGAACATTGAAAAATAATACATTCAGTTTTTATTCATGAAAAGGAGCGTACAACAGGCTCGATAGTAGCCTAGGTATATTTCTTCGGATTTGATGTAGTTTACATTATCCTAACCCTAGAGAACTATATACCATGCTAATGAATTTCCTGTATACTGGAAGATTGGTAATGTAATGCTAATCCCCAAAAAGATAGAGGCCAACAAGTCTGAAAATTATCGCCCAATTTCAATTTATTTTGTACTTCTTTTTATTAAGGTCAGCACTCAGGAGATGATCCCGACGCATGCAGTGTATTGGAAAATAGGTTATTTGAGGGATGATATAGGGAGCAGTGTTCGTGGACATTCGATTTAAACTTATTGCTGGTGACAGGAAAGACTTCCGGGAGAGGTTTGTTACACATACGGACAGTACGATTAAAGAACGAATTCTTCATGTAATGCATTGTGATATCCACTGGCTAATCGATCATATATGAATGTGTTCTTGATATGCGGGTTTCGGGAATGAGATTCCTAATTCCAGAAGAACAGATTACATTGTAGTATCGATAAAACAGTAAAACAAACCCCACATTGCGACTCTTCTCCAATGAGTCATTAGGTTTGGATACCTTATTGTCACCGATAAGTCCTTCACCCTCTCCTGTACGCAGTAGAGGAGCCACTAAATACAGTTGTCATTTTAGGTCGGATATACATAAGTGTTTTAGATTGTATGAAATTCATATGGAGTGAAGTATGTATTACACCGATTAGAAACAAAACGAGACACTTGAATGCTTCTTTCGACACTTGAAATACATATGTGCGTAGTCAAGCGAAACTGAATTTTCATGTCCAGATCATCAAGAGCTTCTGATTCCTTGATATTCGTCGTGCGTTTGTATGTTAAGTCAGGACATTGAGTTTTACGAGCATTGCAATCAACACTGTTATGACGACCCAATCCGGAAATTGCTACTAAATCTAGGTTAAGCGATTCATTCATGTTTTGTCTCATTGCCCCAATCTCCAAAAGTCTTGGTCTATAATTGAATGAATAAAAATGGCAAATGTTGTTGTTATCCGCAAAAGAGTAGATAGGGTTGGAAGTTCGACATACATCATTTAGAAATATGAGATATAGAGTAGGAGAAAGAACGGAGTATTGCGGTACCCATGAATATATTTTGAATTCTTTTGGTGAGATCCTATCTATAGCAATTTGTATAAACCGATTATTGAGAAAGCTCGATATGAATCGAGAGAAGCTTTTACCGACACCAAAAGCAATTAGTTTTGATAATAGTGCATTCCATAGGAATGTAATTGCACCATTTTTCCGCTAGTAGGTCTCCCGTAGAACGACCGCTACGAAAGCTAAAGTGGCGATCTTTAAATCAATTGTTGGACTCTAAATACCTGACAAGATGGTAATCCAAATTTGTCGGCTTGTCGAACGCACAATCGCCTATCCCTTTTTATATCAATAAAATACGACAAAAACTAGTTTTATAAGAACTAAATTCTTTGTATCAAATTCCATTAGATACAATAAGGTCTCCTTTACATGTAGGCTTTTACCTCTGCAGCTAAAATTCGACATACCTATAGGAACCAACCCACATAACCCTAGAAACGGTTTATCTGTCTCTTATAGGAAACTTTCTTATCGCTGATTTTTTATCAGCAGATCTAAATTGGAGGAAAAAGTAAAAACTTATGTAACGACTTGTCAAAAATCTTTTCAAAATTTAGGCATATACATATTAATAAAGTAAAAGTGTCAAATAATTTAAAAAATTTAATTTAAATTAATGTTAATAAACCGGAAACAAATAATATTTGCTAAATGACAAATGACAACAAATAATGATGAGAAGCAAAATTTTCTAAAAAAAAAAATAATGACCCGTATAAGTCGGTGCTGTAGGGTAGAGGAAAAAAACAATATCAGAATATGTACATAGTTCATAATGAAATTAGAAATACATAGTGGCAATAAATAAAGCCGGCTTAATAAAAATTAAATCCAAATCTTACAATAATGACCCTTGGATATGTTGTTTATTAAATATATTTTATACATATCGAATTATCTATTTTTTGTTTTTTAATAGTTTGTGTTTATAGCATTATCGTTTTTTAATATATATTGCTGATTACGAAGAACAGATTTCACCAGATATTGCATGCGAATGTGTGTGTGAGTATGGAAGTTTTTGAGGAGTGCGAGTGTGCGTTTGGTTGTCGTAACAAAAATTGTGATTTTTGCGAGTATTTCATACTTTAGTTTGTGTGTTTGTATATCAAATGTTGTTGTAGTTTTATTTGACAAAACAAAACAGCAACAGTGGTATAGATACAGCGTACGATTTAGTGAATGAACGAAAGTCACCTATCTTTTTTTTCATTTTTTCATATATAATAAGGCAGCGAAGATTGCAAAACCAACAGAATCAAAATAGATTTCTAGTGAATAGTTCACAGAAGTTCCCAAATTATTTATTTATTTATTTGCAAAAAAGAAACTAAACAAAATGCGTTTCCTAGTGTGTTGTGTTTTGTTGGCCGTTGTCGCCGTTGTTGCTGCTATTCCTGCCAATTTTGAGGAAGTACCACAATCTTTATACGATGTAGATGTACAAGGTCATGAAAATGTTGGTGATCGTGAAGCCCGTCAATTTGGCTACGGTGGTTATGGTGGCTACCGTGGTGGTTATGGCGGTTTCGGTGGCTACCGTGGAGGTTATGGCGGTTTCGGTGGCTACCGTGGCGGTTATGGTGGTTTCGGAGGCTACCGTGTCGGTTATGGTGGTTTCGGTGGCTACCGTGGTGGTTTCTACGGTTAAACGGATTATATTATTTAAATGAAAATGCTCAATATATGACTGTATTACTTGTGATTTAACGAAAAAATTATAAATATAATTATCCTTTTTTTGAAGGACAAACTAAAAAATATTTTTTTTTAATTTAAGTGTGAAACTAAAAAACTTATATCATCAAGGATTAAGTGATTAGATTCGTTAGTCGTGGTCACAGTTGTTCCATTGACACTCCACCTTTATCCTTAATCTGAGTTCTCATGTTACTCTTGGAGACTATAGCACATTTGTTAAGATGAAGGTAAGACTTCCGACACTTCCGACCCTCTTTAGACAGACTATAACTAATGAAGGAGACTAGCGGAACATTCTTCGTATAAACAATTTCTTCAGTAACTTTTAAGTGGGTAGGTAGTATGAAGATCTCCATATAATTATATAGTGTCCATTTTATCAAGGGTTAATAGAGTCAATGTCCTTTTAAGTGAACAATAGAGCCAACGCGATATGAATATTCTACATTTGGGAATTGGAGTCTCTAAAGTTTCGATTTTTTAACCAAGACTTTTTCTGAATATTCATTTGCAAAATATCTTCTATTTAATGCAATTGAGAAATCATTTCGACCTTAACACATTCATAGCAGAGCATTGAAAAATGTTTAACCGCATAGGTAGTTACTAATGGACGACGTCTTGATATTTATCATCAATTATTTGAAAAAGTTTCAAAATGTGTCAATTTAAATTATGTCCTTTAAACAATATCTTTATTAAGTTTTACATCGATTCCCAAAATGTTAAAAAAATTCCTTTGGCCACCCAGTAAAAAAAGATCGAAGTACGAATTACATTTATTTTCCTTGATGATATGTACATCAAATGATGCGACATTACGAGGCTTATTAAATCACATTTCTTTATATAAAAGCAATATATATTTGTGCCAAATTTTGTATCTATATCGCAGTTTGGTAATGAGTAGTATGCGTGAGAGTGATTTTCGGAAGGGGACCTTGTATGGGAGCTATGACCTATTATTATCCGACCGTAAAAATAATTACAGTAACATTTCTGTATACAAAAGCAATATTTGTGACAAATTTTGTAAGTATATTATTATATGGAAATGAATTATGTATGTGAATTTAAGTGATGTTCGGAAGTTCCCATATAAGGGAGCTATGACCAATTATGATTGATTGATTGATTGAGAAAATTGTATAAAATCTATTGACATAGAACTTTAATTTGTAAAATTTTGTAAAGATATCGACATATGAAGGGATGTTATTAATAATAAATATGTATGTATGTACATTTCTATGGGTGGTATATGAATTGTTCTTAACAGAATTGATCCTTGCATCAGGATCTATATGTCTGGTAAATTTCAACAATTTATCTGCAGGAGTTTATGTAAAAAGTAGAATATATAGAGTAGATATGTGAAAAGCACAATGTTTTTTAAGGTTTTCTCAAATTTTTACTTATAACTCTGAATCTGTTTTACCGATCTTGCGATTTTCAATACCAAACTGCTTAGGACAACAATAAATATTTTGGGTGAATTTCATTAAGTTTCATTGCTTTGGTTGTGAGCGTGTTTTATACAGGCAGACAGACAGACAGACATATCTAAATCGACTCAAAATTTCCTCGTTCTCGGATTAATATTTCCCAGTGTTACAAACGAAATGACAAACTTATATGTATGAATGTACATATATACCCTCCATCACCACTGATTGTGATGGAAGATATAAAAATTTTAAATTTAAAAATAGTTTTTGAACTTTAAACGCTTATAACTATCAGATGGAGTTACCTTTGGTCTTAAAAATGTTATTCTTTCGAATATTGTAAGTACAATTTAAGTTCGGTTTCATAAGGGTTAAGTAAAATAGCATATAGTAGTGATATAGGCGAAACTCTTCTCTTCACACAGACGAGTTCTGAGAGAATAAAACACACTTGAGAGAACTAAACGCACTCACAAAACTTTAAATTTTCTTCGCGAAATTGCGAGGATATTAGCACTTAATAGTTTTTCTTATCACTTAAACTTAATATTTATTATTTTTTGCCACACTTTTGTTCTATTTAAAACCATGAAAATAATTTATATTTTACAAACGAAAAAAAAAATATTTTTTATTCTTTGACATTTCATTTTAATTTAAACTAAAAAAAGAAAAGTTGTAAATTTTCGTATTGAAAATGAAAAAAGTATTTCACATACTTTTTTTCTTTTTCCATTAGTGCAGAAAAAATAACAAAAAGGCGTGTTTATAATATGTTTTAAGATGAAATATCTTCTGAAAAAAATTAATTAACTAATATTTTCATTCACTAGTATATGAAATCCTAGTAATAACATACAAAAAATAACGTATCAAAAATACATTTATTATATAGTACTTTTTGAACAACTGTGCTTATTTCTGGGCTTCTACTAATACATTCTCACCAGTTAGGTTTTTGACAGGGGACTTAGGTCTTTGACAATCCCTTTCGCCTATATGCTACTATATGTAAAATAGTGAATTACCAGAACTTGTGACGTAATGGGAAAATATCGAAAGCAGGCGTAGTTTCAGTGTGGCACTATCTTAAGTTCTATAACATGTTTTTTAAAGGAGGAGTGATAAGAAAAATCTTTACGTTTAAAGTTTTTCATAAATTCTTTAATAAAATATATTATTTATTAAAAAATTGATTTATGGATATAATTCTACAGTTTTATGAATATAATTCTACAGTTTTGTTTCGTGACCCAACCTTTAAAATCGATGTCTTCCGATTCGAATGAAATTTGCACCAAGGTTAGTACTATTGGACTGCAGGCCAGAAACAAATCCCACTAAGTAAAAACAAAGCTCTTAAAGGAAATGATCTTGGCAGTCTTTTGAGCAAAAAAAGCAACAAAAACGAAGATTTTGAAAAAATAAGGGAATGTGAAGTACCCGCTCGCATTTCATTAAGCGACTAATTTGTAAGATTTCTACTGAGTAAAAAAAAATTAAAAAAATTGTGAAACACTGAAGAAATAGCTATCTGAACTCCTTTGAACAATTTTTGCTAGGACCAATATTTAAGTTACATTTATTTGAATAAAACTCTATATGACCAAAATGTCCAACTTTGACCCCCTCTAAGTAAGGCAGTTCTTGACCGATAGAGCTAAACATTTGTGCAAATTTTATTCAAATCGACTTTTAGAGTTAGGTCAGTTGACACGAAATTGCATTAACATTTTCAAATAGTAAAAATTTTCACGTGACGATATCTAGAATCTCAGATGTCATGGAGAAATTCTAAGATTCGAATTCAGCGTCACCTCAATCCTTTAGAAAAGCCCCCTTCACATGAGCACACAAGTAATATTATCTGACAAAATTTTGTCTTGAAGAGTGCGAATGAGATCGTCTAAACTTAAGCCCCCTTTACACGAGCACCCAAATTTGTAGAAGGTGTAGAAGAGTACAGATTGGATCGTCTAAATGCTATATGTAATGAAACCATCACACATTAAGAGAAAATACGGATGGAAAATTTTATTTCGTTTTTTGAAATGATATCGTCCAATCGTGTAAACACAAAAAATATAAATCATACGACTTTTATTCTCGTTTTTGTCATACGTAAAGTGTGATCGAGTAATGAGCCCTTTATTAAATACGTATGTATATTTTGTTCATATCCAATTATATATTTTTTGTTTTTTACTATTGCATGTTAGTGTGTGTGTGTGTGTGTATGTGTATGGAAGTTTTTGGGAGTGCGAGTTTGGTTGTCGTAACCAAAATTGGGATTTTTGCTATTATTTTATATCTCTGTTTGTATATACATATGTGTATCAAAAGTTGTTGTAGTTTTATTTGACAAAATAAAACAGAAGCGGTTTAGATACAGCGTACGATTTAATGAATGAACGAAAGTCCCCTATCTTTTCTTAATTTTTTCATATATAATGAGGCATCGAAGATTGCAAAATCATCAGAATCAAAATAGATTTCAAGTGAATAGTTCACAGAAGTTCCCAAATTATTTATTTGCAAAACAAAACTTAATAAAATGCGTTTCCTAGTGTGTTGTGTCTTGTTGGCGGTTGTCGCCGTTGTTGCTGCCATTCCTGCCAATTTCGAAGAAGTACCACAATCTCTATACGATGTAGATGTACAAGGTCATGAAAATGTTGGTGATCGTGAAGCCCGTCAGTTTGGCTATGGCGGTTTCGGCGGCTACCGTGGTGGTTATGGCGGTTTCGGTGGCTATCGTGGTGGTTATGGCGGTTTCGGTGGCTACCGTGGCGGTTATGGTGGTTTCGGAGGCTACCGTGGCGGTTATGGTGGTTTCGGTGGCTACCGTGGTGGTTTCTACGGTTAAACGGATTATTTTATTTAAATAGAAAATGCTCAATATATGACTGTATTAATTGTGATTTAATGAAAAAAATATAAATATAATTATCCTTTTTTTGAAGGACAAACTAAAAAATAAATACCGAAGTTTTAATATATTCAATTTAAGTGTGGAACTACAAAAGTTATATCATCAAGGATTAAGTGATTAGATTCGTTAGTCGTGGTCACAGTTGTTCCATTGACACTCGACCTTTATCCTTAATCTGAGTTCTCATGTTGTTACTCTTGGCGACTATAGCACATTTGTTGTAGGTATGACTTCCGACGCTCTTTAGACAGACTATGACTAATGAAGGAGACTAGCGGAACATTCTTCGTATAAACAGTAACTTTTAAGTGGGTAGGTATATATAGCTTTGTCATTCCGTGTGTAACACCAAGAAATATTCATCTGAGACCCAACAAAGTATATTCTGGGTCCTTATCAAATTCTGTGTCGATTTAGCTATGTCCGTCAGTCTATGTAAAACACGCTCAACCAAATTCACCCAAAATATTCTACATTTTCCTAAGTTGTTTGGTATTGAAAATGAGCAAAATCAGTTCACGTCGGGAAAAGTTATGAATCAAAATTTAAAACAAACTCCAAAAAAATAAGCATTTTTTACAAATTCTGATGTAATTTTCTCGAAAACTATGATCAATTATGGACCGATAGAAAAACAATTTCACAGTAATATTTCTGTGCAATACTTGTACCAATTTGTA